TTCATTAGTCACTCAATCAACTTTGCCACTGTCTTGCATTTCATTACGGTGAATGGTTGTCAACAATGTGACATCTCGTTTGTCATGCCATCATAATGCCACGATGTCATTGGCAGTAAACACCTGCACGTCATCACCACCAGCACCTGCATTGAGCCTGGGCATATGTTTACAATTAGAACGCACTGTGCCACACACATCTGTCTTGTTCACTCGCAAGAAATCACTGAGTAATGGGCTTGTGTACCAGTTATTGGTATATAATGTATGCCCCTTACCAAGATAAGGTGCCATCATGTTTCTCACTACGTCACCTGAGATACCCAATAACATCTTGGTATCTTTCAATGTTTTACTTCCCGTGTATACAACAATATCCAACACCAGGCCACTGTCACAGTCACAGAGTACAAACAGTTTTATACCAAAGCGTTTCTTCTTGCTCGGTATATACTGCTTGAATGACAGCCTACCTTTGAACAAAATCAAAGACTCGTCAATTACAAGATTCTTGAATGGATAAAAGTATATGCTGAACTTTTGTTTGAGATACATAAAAACATTTCTAATCTTGTATAACCTGTCACTTCTGTCAGGCCTGGTTTTGTCAGAGAAGTGCAATATACGTAACAGTAAGATAAACCTGTTCACTGGGATGGTTTCACTGAAGACCGGGGTAGAAATTAGCCGATCTGTGGACCAGTATGCTTTTATATTATGCTTATAGACATGAGGCATAAGCATTATCGTTGCAAAATGCAAAAACATTTCTGCAACAGTCGTCTCTTTCCACCGGTGTAATCTTGACTGTGGTGATATGATCGTATTTGCCATGGTGTACTCAAAATACTTAATACTTTCCCTGACAATAGTTTCCATCAATGGCTGGTCAAAGAATAATTCAAAGAATTCCAGTTCATTGGCCGTGGTTCCAAGGGGACAAGTAGGTAGAATTCCACTTTGAGAGTCATCAAAGTGGTGGGGCTTGGGAACAAAATTGGGATTTTGCTGCCAATCCCAGATACGGTTTGCTGGTGGATGCTGGACATCATAGGCTGGTTGTGCGGGTGGTTGTGGTTGTGGTGGGCTGGTGGCTGACGCTCCGCTTTGTCCTTGAACCGAGGAGTCAGCAGCGTGGGTCCCAGCCTGGGCTGGCGAGTCACGCATGGCCGTGGCACTACCATCACCACTACCACCATCTGCTGATGCCTGTGGTCTATCCATGCCAAGTGTACCCACATCATCCTCACTATCACTATCTAAACCTGGTGTAGGGCCACAGGATGTACTCCGGGATGTACTCCGTCCCCTGGGCACAGCATAGGGTACACTACCCGAGTGCATGCAGCGGCGTACATACCGACGCTTCACTGGTGAATATGATTCCTCACTATCACTACTCGAATGATCGTCAAGCACAATAAAATCACAATCCACGTCACTATCATCATCATTACTGAAGTCAGAGTATGTATAAAATATGCAGTAACTTTAAAACACTTGAAATTTTGGAAAGTTTCCTGACATAATATATATGGTCACGGCAATTGTAAAGAAACCGGGTGGGGGGCGCCGTATTTGAAAGACCGCTTGCCGTATAGCAAATTTTGGTCATAATTTGACATCGCCATGTTAGCAGAACGCCGTAAAGCGGGGCCTTACTGTACTCATGAATTCTAGAGGCTTCAAATCAAGCTGGAGAAAGCTGGTAGGCCCACATGTGAGAGAATGGGTCTGTGTGGTCAGTGTGCACCATATAAAAAAAAAATCCTGCAGCACGCAGTGCATAATGAGAAAAAAAAACTTCAACCGCTTTTTTAATTACAATGCCGACTTCGTGGTCTATTTTCGTACAGTATTTATGGCTGTATTCTCATTTTCTTGGTCTCATTTGACAGAAAGGAGAACATATTATAAAAATAGAGACGATTTTGATTGGTTTTACTATGAAAAGAACCTGGAAATGGAGCTCAAAGTAAGGGAAATGTTTGATTTTTGCCGATGTTCAAAAGTAAACAAATGATGTCATTTTCCAATAAATGTCCAAGTAGCCATTCTAATATGCAGTCATGAATGGGTTGACATTATTTATACAATTATTACAATATTGCAGTAGTCTGCATAACAATAAATCTTCTATTTTTTGTTTGAATAAAATTCAAAATAGAAAGCAAGAGTAATGTCAGAGGGGCCTGGAGACATGACTGATGAACAAAGAAAATGTTATTTTAGAGCCAGGAATGTCTGCATTGTTCATTCTGGACCCTATTTTAAAATCGTCATATTTTTTAATTTTCATGAAATTGGCCAAATTGCAAATTTCTGACCATGTTATTGGGTAGTTGAAATCAGTAAATGGCCAGTTTCTTGTACTCAATCGATAGAAAAAAAGGAGTTCTAAAGAAATAGCTACGAGTTTGGTTGACTGGAACAATGGAATTAGCCGAAAATAGGGCTCAAAGTGGGGGAAATCGCCGATTCGTAAATATCGCCGAGGTCGCTAACTTTGTGAGAGCATAATTCCTTCAGTTTTCCATCAAATTTCATAATTTTGGTGTCGTTACAATCGGGAAAAGATTCTCTATCATTTCATAAAAATTTTGCGACACCAGGAGACACCTTAGGATTTGGGTTGCAACAGTCAAGAGGTTAAAGGGAGCTAGTACGCTTGTTCATATATGGTCAATTATGGCTGTATTTGTCTCAGTTAGTCTTGTATAGGTAGTGTATTATTCATACTGTTAACCCTTTGACTGTTTCGGTCGTATATACACGTCTTACGCACCACTGTTTCTGACGTATTTATACGCGTAAATTCTAGCGGCTTCAAATCAAGCGGGAGAAAGCTGGTCGGCCCACATGTGAGAGAATGGGTCTGTGTGGTCAGTGTGCAAACATAAAAAAAATCCTGCAGCATGCAGTGCATGAGAAAAAAAAAATGACCGTTTTTTGGGATTAAAATGCCGACTTTGAGGTGCATTTTTGTATAGTATTTGATTACTTTCACAACGAAAATGACCTTGAAATTGAACTCAAAGTAGTGGAAATGTTCGATTTTTACCAATGTTTAGGAGTAACCAAATCACACCACACATCCAATACACTTCAACTGGAGAGTCTAATATTCTTTCATTAGTGCACTGATATTATTTATACCATTTTTACAATAATGCGGTAGTCTGCATAACAGTAAATTTTGTACTTTTTTTGTATGAATAAAAATCAAAATAGAAAGCAATAGTAATATAAGAGGGGCCTAGAGACGTTACTAATAAACAGAGGATATGTTATTTTAGTGCCAAGAATGTCTACATTGTTTATTCTGGACCCTATTTTGAAATTGGCATCTTTTTTAATTTGCGTGAAATTGGCCAAATTGCCAATTTCTGACCACTTTGTTGGGTAGTTCAAATCAGTAAATGGGCGGTTTCTTGTACTCAACTGATAGAAAAAATGGAATTCTAAAGAAATAGCTATGAGTTTGGTCAACTGGAACAATGGAATTGGCCAAAAACAGGGCTCAAAGTCGGCGAAATTGCCGATGTGTATATGTCGCCGAGACCGCTAACTTCGCGGGAGCGTAATTCCGTGAGTTTTCGACCAAATTTCGTATTTGGTGTCGTTACCATCAGGAAAAGATTCTCTATCATTTCATAAGAAAAAATAATTTTTTTTTTTCCAAAAATTTATCGACATAGAATGACAGTTTCAGAAAGGGGCCTGCGACAGTCAAAGGGTTAATGAAATCAGTTACAGGTTGGTCATCTGATAGGCCAAGGTTAATGCTGAAGTCTCCTGCTAGTACGTAGTAGGTGGTGCTTATTCACATGTTTATCTGTTATCAGTGTTTTTAGTTTATCACTAAAAGCTTGGATATTAGTATGAGGCATCCTGTATATGGCACCAATTGCTATAGGGTCCTTTAAGCTTTTTACAGAGAGGTTTGCAAATATATATTCACCATATTCATCAGTGAAGCATATGGTGTTGCAACATAATATTTCATTAGAATAATAGATGGCAATACTTCCCCAATTTGTTCTGGCCTGTTGTGGATTGCTGTGTATCCGGGAAGTGTGTAGATGTGCATTGTATCTTGCTTAAGCCAGGTTTTGGTAAGAATAATGTACACCCTCTCTTCATTTAGTGACATGCTCTTTTACCAACGATTCGGACTTACGACAGGCTCTCTGACCAGTATGTATACTTAAATAATGCATATTAGAGCTGAGGTCTTCTGTTCTGTTTATTACAATATACAGTACACTACTGTATAAACATTTAAAAATACATATACTAAAAATATTATAAATGGTTGGTACAAAGGTGACATTAAAACAATATCAAAGATGGCTGACACAAACCCACTACCATTACAGTATGCTCCTTGCTTAACAACAAATTCGTTTACTGACATGGTTTTAGCAACGGAACTACGTCATTCAGTGAGTAGAAACTGTATAACAAAGTGTGACAAAGCAAATGTAGCCAAGGCCAAGAAAATTACAGAATACATTAGCCAAGGTCAAGAAAATTATTAGATTATGAGGCATGTCAAAATAAGGGATACCAAGACAATATCAAAATGGTAATACTTTTTGAAGCTCTACACTAACCTCCTCAAAGTTGTAGATGTGTTAACTGAACTTGAAAACATGTAGAGAATTTTTTTTTTTTGCACAGAATCAGGGTGCCTCAAAGCACTGAATGTACTCAGAAATGAGGAGAGAATAATCTATACATGGTAAATATTTACAGGTTAGGTCCCTAATCTGCACACTAAAATAACATTTTACTGGAGTGAGATAAAGGAAGGGTAGAACAGACCTGATGAAAAATAGATATACTATTAAGACAATTCAAGAACACTGTACTAACATCCAAAGTCCACAAGTCTTCAACTAGCTAATAAGAATGTTTTGGAACAAATACAGTTTTCATGGGACAATTAAATAAGTTTCACAGAGGTGCCTGATCAGTAAGCCCATGATGGCTTTAAGAGTACTGCAAATTGGTTAAAAATAGACTGACTGGGAAAGCCTGGCCTAATACCTATTGAAAAAAAAGTCATGGGTGAAAATCAATTAACAGCAATTATATATACATCACTAAGAACTTTTACATTTAATTTATTCTTACCTAAATCCCTTTTTACTTTTCTTTTTCATGGCAGACAATAGGGCAAGACCACCACATTCAACCAAATGGGCATGGAAGACATTCAAATCCTGGAACTGCATGCTGCAACTAGAGCAGGTCTTCATATTTATTTTCTCTGTCTCAGACAATTCTGTATCAGAATTTCTTCTGCTGGATCTGGTTTGCTGTAATGGAATACCAGGTAGTGGCAGGCGGTACGGCCGAGTGGTGGGAGGCTGGTACTGCATACAAAAACTAAGTGGCACTTCTCCTTGCCCCTGTATCATGGTATGTGCACACCACACTGATGGATGCACCTCCCATTTATGGTCCATTATATCAGCTAAATCCCAATAGCCAGCACCACAAGAACAACAAATGTATGTGTGTGCCTTGGACCATTCTCCATCAACTACAACACTTGGTTCTGCAAATACAGATTTTATTTCATTTTTGTCCTCTTGATCACCTTTTCCAGACTGCATCCCTGACCTTGTACGAGTTAGTAGAGGAACTTCTGGGTTATCAGTTTCTTTTTTATTATCTTGGTCTAATTTTTCTATTGGTTTCTTTAAAGGAATCTGCTTTACAGACAATTCTGAAGTTTCCTTTTTTTTAGTTCCTCTTGATCTTAAAGTAGATATACCCAGAATGTCAAAAAGATCATTTTCCCGTTTTGCTCGAGGAGTACTACCATGTCCTTTCCGTCCTTTTTTGAGAATTTTCTTTTGGAGCTCCATTTGTATAGATAAACTGAAGTTTTTTATGAATTCATCATCAAGAGATATTTTAATACTTTTCTTACCTTTCATATATTTAGCAATGTCTTTTCCTGGATCAATCCGTGCTTCATCAGGTACTACTGCTTCTTCCCTTACATTTTTCAAAGGAAGTGTCAGATAACTGCGGTCAAGATTTGGATCAGACACTTTAGAAAGAGTGCTTAGATGAAAAAATTTTCCATCTAAGAAATTGATGTAGTTATCATATATATTCCATGATATACCAAAATTCCCTCCAGATGATCGAGTGACAACAGATGCACTCTGTTGATTTACAGTTTCACTGATTAAAGAAGTTCTGTCATCTTTATGACAAGTGGCATGAGAGATTATACTTTCTTCTGGCACTTGAGCTTTGCAGATCTTGCAACAATTTTTTATAAAATGTATTGCTTTTAGGTGGTTTGAGAATCCCTTTTCACAAGCAAAGTAATAATTACACTTAAAACAATAGTAACTGCTATTGTGAATTAACGTCTTCCACTTATGGAAGGGGTACGAATATTTTTTTTGATTACATTCACAAGTTACATCACCTACTCTTACTTGATACACAGCTTCATGAGTATTCAAATGAAATCTCACAGCATCAATATCTCGTGAGGCAAAGTGGCACAACCGACAAACGTATGCACTGGATTCAATCTCCACGGGCTCGGGTATTTCCATAACATCTTTGACTCTTTTCAGCATATGGTATTGATATGCATAAGTTGCCTTAGCTGGTACAAAAGTATTGCATACATGACATTTTGTAAGGTGATTATCTAATGGTACATTTAATCTCAAAAAACACAATGGACATTCAGCTTCTATAGCATCTAATTCCTGAGCCTTATCGTCTCTCTCTGAAGTTGTACCTTCTAGCATATTACTGGGTACTTGCTCTTCTCTAATGTGAGCATCAGTCATGAAAGGTAAACAGTCACTAACACTACTAGAAGTGTCAGTGGTAGCAAGCCAAACTTCCTCGACATTTGACAATACTCCATCAAATAAGTCCTCAGCTGATTGTTGTACCTCCTCCTTCACTGGTGCTAATTCCAATAATAATTTATCTTCATCATTACTCCCAATATCAAGATTCTCATTTAAAGATGAAGCTTCTTGACTTGTGGGGTTATTTGTTTGAGAGTTAGAAAGATGTATTCTTGGTGGATCTCCACTATCATCTCTGTCATTGTAAGTACTAGTTCCACCTATTACAGTACATTCCACGAAGTCACTTTTGGTTGCACCGAGTACGCTGCTGAGAATTCTAGCAGATAAACAGTCATTATGTCCACCACATTCATTTTCATCAAAATTACAGGCATCTTGACAAAATGGGTTTTCAAGTCTTTGAGTAACTTCTCCCAATGAAGTTACTGTTTTGCTCTTAAACCCTAACCATAGTCTACCATCATCTATGAATGGTTCCATCTGTGAACTTCCTTCCATGACGCCAGTAGAAACTAATGGTGACACCAATTTCGACCGACAATCTAAAGTGGGCTTTAGGGATGATTTGCTAACTTCTATTCTAGCTTCAGGTGATGGATGATTAAATTCAGCAACAGCCTCAAACAACTTGTGGCTACTTTCAGCAGTGATTTCATCAACTGTAGAGTCACTTACTTCAGTGATATCACAATGTTCTGAGTGGCTAACTTCAGCAGTGACACTTTTGATTGCTGACTCACTCACTTTGGCAGTGATTTTGTCATTTGTTAAGTGGCTGACATTAGTGATTTTATCAACTTGTGGGTGTTCAACTTTATCAAACACTGAGAAGCAGGCTTTGGTACTGGCTTCCTTTTTTTTGTGGCAGACTTCACTTATGGCCTCAACTCGTAAATGATTGATTTCAGCACTTCTTTTAAGCCGACAACTGACACCAGCAGTGGTTTTAGATGTTGTATGCTGACCATCAGCAGTCATTTCAACTGTAACAGGTCTGACTTCAGTGGATTCACATAAGGTCTGTTCTACTGCAGCCGTGACTACATCTGTCGTATGTTTAACTTCAACTTCGGAATCAAAAGCTGGATGGTCAATTTCTGGAGTGGAAACAGTTGCTGGTCTTACATTATTTGGATGTGAGAGGTTCAATTTGGTGTCAGCCTCTGGACATGTTATATTTAATCTGCCATTAGTTTCTGAATGTGCAAGACCTGGCCTGATATCAGCATCTGGATAGACAGCATCTTGTTTGTCATCATCCTCTGAATGAACAAGGCTTAGTGCAACCTCGGCCCCTGAATGTATGAGAGATACTTTGTCATTATTGCCACAATGAGTGATATTTTGTCTGGCTGCTTCTGAATCTGCTTGATCATCAGCTTCTGGAGAGGTGATGTGTGATTTGGCACAGAGCACAGCATCTGCTGGTGGAGGTCTACCTTCATTTGTGATACTGAATTGAGGAAGAGTCCCTCTAGTGGTAGCTCTGGTCACTGGATACATCACATTTAGTGTTTGTGTAACCAGATCTCCACCATTCTCAGAATATACATGATTTGGCAGTTTTTCAATTTCAACAATGGTAGTTAATAGTGTGCTTGCTTTATTGACTTCTGAATGATTATTAATCTCAGAAGCAGTCTGTAAAGAGTCTGTGGTTTCAAGTGATGAGCAACCAGTTTCTGTGATGTTAGCAAATGGTGAGCGATCGATTTCAGAACTTTCAGATGACAGGTTAAAGTTAACAAAATCATAAGTTGATGGATAATTGACCAATGGCTGATTGACTTTAGCGGCTTCAGTGGACGTGTTGTTAACTGCTGCGACTTCAGATGACAGGGTGACAACTTCAATATTGTCACACGAGGGATTGCTAAGTACAACAGCTTCAGCAAATGAGTGACTTGTTTTACTGACTTTGCTTAATGGGTCACCCACTTTGGTGTTTTTCCCTGGAATATGGCTGACTTTTGTGGCCTTGGCCTTAGCTGATGGATGGACGACCTCAGTAGCCTTGGCTGACGAATGGGCATTCTTAGTGGCCTTCGCTGATAGCTGGACAACCTCTGTAACCTTGGCTGATGAACTGGCCACTTCAGCTGATGGATGGGCAACTTCAGCAGCCTCCACTGTTGGAGGGCTGACCTCGGCTGGTAAACTGCTGACTTTAGTTCCCTCAATTAGTGAATGACTAACACTAGTAGTCTCAGATGATGGGTGGGTGACTTCAGTGGTGTCAACTGATGGGTGGTTAATTTCAGAAGCGTCTGGTAAGAGACCTCCTGTAATACATTTGAGGTTGGCATTAGCTGCATGTTTTAAATAAGCAGCTCCAGTAGCAACAAGGGATTGAGCAGCATCATTAACAGTTCCTGACAAAAGCTTGGCTCCAGTATCAACAACCACATGGGGATCACTAGTTTCAGCACTTGTAGGTGCTGAATGTCTTGGTGCAGTAACCGAAGTTGGTACCTGCATCCCTCCAAAAACATGAGCTAGATCACAAGTGTCATCAGGAACCACAGATGGCAAGCAAATGTTCCTTGTAGATGTAAATGCAGGTTGATCAAATTCAACATCACTTTTTCTTGTATGGTAGAAATCAGAAACTGCAGCTGACATGTGTATTGTTTCTGTGACCTCAGGTAGTGAGTGGCTACTTTTAACAGCAACTTGTGGGGAACTTAATTCAGGTCTGTCATGAACTACCAACAATCTATTATTTTTAATACCAACTAGAGACAAAAGTTGCTCTGAAGATGTAGCTGGAGGAACTTCCTGCTTGTTCACTTGTCCCTTAGCTGGCAGGCAAGTGTCTTCAATATTCTCACAAGGTGGACGGATCTCAGAAACTTTCTTAACAATACTGGCAAGGCAATGATCAATTTCACTTACAATGTGACATTCATTTTCTGGCAATGTGCTCTTAATAACTGAATCTGTGTACAAATTACTACTTGCACATGAAGAATGTGTAAGGTTCCTACTTATTCCACCTGATGGATGACATTTATTTTTTGGACGACTGTATTCCGAGGTATTCCTGAATGAGCCAAGGACATTTGCAGAGGTAGACTCTTCTTGGGAAGAGACTTTGTCTGAGGTAGTGAAAATATGAGGACAGGGTGAATTAGTGTTCCATTCTACTTCAGAGGGACTTCCATAACTAACTTTATCTATGGATTCTTGTTTAGCTATGGGAACTATTGTGGAAAAAAGATGGGACACAACTGAATTGTGTGTGGTATTTAAAGTAAATAAGGAACTCTTCACATCTGTGATAGGCACTTTTGAAACCACCATCACCTCCTCCTCCTCCTCCTCCTCCTTGGAAGAAGGCTTAGCAGAATAATTAGATCTATTTGCAACCATTTCTGTGGATACAGTACTTTTATCAAAGCTCAGTTTTATTTTGGGAGAATTCTTTTCTGTTTCAAATGATGATTCACTCTTCTTGAGTGATTCTGGCAACAGTTCTGCAACTGTGAGGGCAAAAGCATTTAAGGTACTTTCTTTATTGCAATACAAATCTTCAGAAGATTTTCTTTTTTCATCTAAATCATCCTTTATCGAAGAAGACATGTCTTCTGTAAGCCGTAATAAAGAAATGTCACCATCAGCAGACTCTGTAGAACTAGTTCCTCTGTGAGGTACAGAAGTTATTCCATGAATGTTTGAAGAGCAGATTACAAAACTATCTTTATTAAAAGGTCTAGTCTTGATATGATTGTTAGTAACCATTCTTTCAGTAGGTGAAAGACTTCTCTTACAGTCAGATGAAAGAGCTGTCTTTTGTAATGATACCTCAGAATTTGGGCTATTCTCAGTCTGATCTTCCATACAATTTCCTCTTGTTATGCAATTTGATGTCACAGAACTGTGAGAAGCGGTAGACATTAATAATGCTGTTATAGGTTCTTGAGGAGACTTTTCTAGAAAACCAATCTGAGAGCTACTCTTTTCTGAGGAATAACTATCATCAGTTTTCTTCACTGAGGACTCATGAAGTACCTCAGAAGTCTCTTCCTTCACAGAGGAAGGAAATTGAATACCTTCAGCTGAAGGTTTAACAAATGCCTCACTTTCCACTACAGCAGAATGAGAAATTTCACTAACAAGCTGTAATATTCCCGATTTTGCTTGTAAAAGATCATCTACAACATCAACTGAATCTTTCACACTCATGCAGGGCTTTGTCACATTTTTATCTGGTAAAGAAAAATTTCTATTATTTTCAGGTGGACATGAATTTTTTCCCAAATCCACAACAGGCACTAATGATAGGTGGCTACGTTTTTCTGGAGAAATGGGTGGCACACAGCTAAATTTTAAGGCAGTTTCTAGTGATGAATTTTCCTCTCTAAACATTGAATTCCAGGGTGATTGGTTTTCTAAGTGGGTGCTACATTTTGTATGAAGAAAATCATCATTAACAGACTTGGGTGGCTGTCCAGGATTATTCAATGTGATTGTACTGGGCATTCCAAGAAGACCTGATGCAGTCTCCTCATTTTGTAAGGTATTGCAGTTTTGGGTCTGACTAGAAATGGTTTGAGATCCTGAGACAGGGTTTTGGCATAAATTATTACCAGTATTGGACAAGTTACTATAATTATTAGTGCCTAAATCCTTTAAAGGTACCTGTGAGGGTAGGCTAAAATCTACAAGTGTATCTGATGATACAGTTGAAGGAGACAAGGAGTGGCCAGCAGTATTAACATCACTAAACAATCCTGGTACAGAGCTAGAAGAATGACCAAACAAGCTCTGACTACCAGATATTGTCAACTTGTCTGTAGAATGAACAGAATCCAAACTAACACACGATGTTGATATGTAGGTTTCTTGTGGCTGATTTTCAAAGCCTTGTTCTTTAACTCCTTTATCTGGGATAACACTAGTAGGCCATTCACACGTACTCTTTTCCGACAAAGTATTTTCACAAGATATGCCCTTTACAGGATCCACTGGAGATGATAATGTTGGAAGATCAAATGCTAAATCTTTTTCTTTCTGAATTTCAGCATAACTTAATTCAGGTTGAACAGTATCACTAATTATATCCTTAATGGATTTAGTTTTCTCTGCAGTACACTCTTGTAAAGTTCTTTCTTTATCAAAATTACTGTCTGCAATATTTTTCAAGTGCACATGACTTAATAGTACGTTGGATGTTTTTATTGGTAGTGAATCTGTACTGCTGTTTTTTGTACACACAATGTCCAAGTTCTCACAAATGCTATTAATTTTGTCACTTAGTGTTTTACCTGGTAACACAGGCTTTAAATTATCCTCCGAATTAGAATTACTTGCCAATGGAGAGGCAGGGAGACTTTCATCAGATACATCTGACAATATTGCAGCCACTGCATCAGAAATCCTGACCATGAGTGTACCCCGAGAAGCATCTGAAGGAGTATCTGAGAACATGGGTGTATTGGAGTTGCTCTGAAAACCTGAGACAGAAGAAAGGCCTGAGGAAGAGGAAGGAGCACAAAGAAGAGAGTTTTCATCATCTGAAATGGGTTCTAAATATTGCACACTTTCACAATCAGTATTCACAAGAGATGATGTTAAAACACTGGTTTTGTTTGTTTTAGAGAAACTGGTTTCTCGAACACTATCACAAGAATTCTGAGCACCCTTTTCATTGTATAAATCACCATTTTCACTTTCTGCTAGAATAGTTCTACATGATAATCCAGCAACTGTCTCAGCATTTCTACTGCAATTTTCAGAACTTAGTTCTTTTTCAAATACCTCAGTATTACTCTCACTGCCTCCTGATATCACACTATCACTTTCAGGGATATTCACTCTACCACTCAGAACATCAGTACCCATTGATAGTAGACTTTCAACACATTTATCACTTTCTACACTAGATGTTGCTTGTAATGGGCTACTCAAATGCTTCACATTTTTTGAGGTTACATCATGAACATTTTCAGAGTCCATAGTGAAATCTTGGTCACATTTACACTGTTGGTCCTTAAAAAAGCACTTACACTGATTACAAACATTGCTGAGAACATCTGTAGTCTTCAGATCCTTACATTTTCTTGCACTAACACTTATGCAATCTACACTTCTTTCAGTTCTGTTATCATCATGGCCAAAGTCATCTGATCTAATTTCCTCATGACTTTTCTTTAAGTTACAAGACAAAGAGGAAAAGATATCAACATTAGCAGCCTCTAAACTTGAACACTTGTCAGCACACAATTTAGGTATGATATCGTCACTGTCGTTTGCATTTTTACTTGCATTATTGATATTTGGAAGTATTAAAGACACACTTTCGGTTACATTAAATTTGTTTCCATTTAATTTTTGGTGTTCCTGCGCCATAACAGGTTCAGTTTTTTCACAAAAGGTTGAAGAGGTCTCTCCACTACAACATGTGTTCCCTGAATCACTTTTATTGTTTTTGTCCTTAACAGAAAAATCCTTACTCAGGTGAGCATTAACAATTATGGCAGTGTTGTTGTTATCACATATTTTAGGACTACTTTGTTCATTCTGGTATGAAGATTTTATTCCAGAGTCACTTTTTGACAATAAAGATGCATCTTTATGCAAGTAGTCCATGGATTTCTCCTGTATTTCTCCAAAGTTAACAATACTGTGTGACGGGAAGTCTTGCAGTACATTGGGGCCTCTTCGATTAGCCTTGGAGCGGTTGTGCAATTTTGTTACCATTTCTTCAAGGGAAATTCTCCTCCTTCCCTTTGGACTTTTAGAACTTGTAGGTGAAGTTAGTGTTACACCCTGTTTGGACACTGATGATAAACCAAATCCACCAAGAACTGCCATAGGATCAACCACAGAGTTCCCCAAAGAACAAAAGCTTGTTAAGTTATCAGATGTCTGGCAACATACTGACACAGTAGAGGTTTCTTCATGTGCAGATGTAAAGAGGGTCAACTGTTTAAAACATTTACCAGAGACATTTGGCAGTGAACAGTTAGGGTTGATAGTTTGAGAAGAGGTGGTAGAAGCAACAGTGCTTGCTGCAGCATTACAAGAATCTCTTGTAAATGTGCTAAGAGATGTACATGATGCTGATCCTCTGCCCTCACCATCCTCATCCTGTGGAAGGGACAGTAAGTGGCATGGCAAATGGAGCCCCTTCTTTGGGATGTAGGTAGCTCCATACACCCCATTGGATAATCCTGGATGTGGGAAGAATCCATTGACATGGCTGGTGGTTGGAGAGTGAGCCTGGGTATGTTCTTTGTACACATCTGGATCAAGTTGGGCATGGCTCTCTCTGGAAGTAGGAGAGGTCTTCGAGAACTGGCCACAGCTATTAGGTGGCTTTTGGGTAGGAACAACATTGACAGCATCTCCAAGAGGATAGTTGCTCCCATTAGAAGGGGAGCACAGTCCACCTGTCTTCATCCTGTTCCTCAATGCATGCCTGGAAGGAAAGAATATTTTAGAACAAGAACAACAAAAAAATTAAAATTATGACAAATAATCTTTAAAAGTATACAACTAAGGATATATATATAATGGTAAACTAATACAGCATATCTTTATCTTCAGCTCATTTGAATGATGACCTTTTTTTTTATGAATTATTTCTAAGGCTTAAAAAGTTTCTAAAACCAACTTGGATTACACATTTCTTTCTTGTAAACCACTAACATTACTTGGAATATACATTAAAACAAGCCAGGGTTATTTTTGTAAATACAAAAACTTACAAATTCCTTTCATTTGATACCTTGGTATCAAGTGAAAGGAATGATACTTGATGGGCAATGACATATAACATGATCTTCAAACATTTCAGGCAGTTATTTATGTTAAGCCATACAAGGTAACACTTTTAAATGCATACAACTTAGATTGTGGCTTGCATTATAAAGACATTCACCACTTACACTAAATAACAAGACTGTTCAACTGCCTCCCAGCATACATAAGGGGGATTACCAATAGACCCCTGGCTGTCTTCAAGAAGGTGCTGGACAGACACCTAAAGTCAGTACCTGACCAGCCGGGCTGTGGTTTGTACGTCGGGTTGCGTGCATCCAACAGTAACAGCCTGGTTGATCAGACCCTGATCCACCATGAGGCCTGGTCACAGACCAGGCCACGGGGGTGTTGACCCCCAAAACCCTCTCCAGGTATACAAAGTAGAGGTTTACTTCAACAAGGAAACATAGTATGATGAAGGATTCAAGAGGTTAAATAATGTTAAATGAGAATATAATAATGTACTGCAAAAGTGCTACCAAAGTGCACTCTGCAGTGTGAGAAAGTAAAACCAATCTTGGGTGCATTTTGAATGTACTGTATGTGCAAATATAAATAACAAAAAAAAGGCACAATACCGTGACTGGAACGATACACAAATAACCCGCACATAAAAGAGAGATGCTTACGACGACGTTTCGGTCCGACTTCGAAACGTCGTCGTAAGCTTCTCTCTTTTATGTGCGGGTTATTTGTGTATGTGCAAATATAACTATCAACAAGATACAGTTGAGCACCACCAAAACCTTTCAAACAGTACTGCTTCAGTAAGTGACTTATGGAAATCTTGAGACTCTGAAGTACAATATATACAGAAAAAAAAAATTTGAATACACCAATATAGTGGAACCTCGGCTTACTGAGTTTAATCCTTTCCGTGACCTTGCTCGTCTCTATCTGCTAGTATGCCGAGTCAATTTTCCTCATTTAAATAAAGTGACATGCCATTAATCCAATCTAGTGGAATTCCTGCTCTCAGGAGGCAGGAATATGGTGCTAATATCAACTCTACGGCTTATTTATCTATCACAATTCGTCTAATATGACATAATAAACAATATAAACAACATAGAAACCTGATATATACTCTAGAATGAATAAAATATGTCAAGTGACAAGTGGTGGCAGCCATTCCCTACCTCAAGCGGCCGCCTTGTTGTGGGTCAGTGGGGGAGACATACCGTCATCCCCTGCCGTCCCCCAATACACATCCCAGCTTATGTGTTCAGTTCCACTTCTCTCCTTCAAGCTAGCTGTGCTTGTGAATTGTGTTTTGATCTTTTAAGTACCATATCTTGTATCTGCCAAGCAATTATGACACCCAGTAGGCATACCAGTGTTGCTGAATGACTTACTGACTTGACTGACTGATTTACTGACTTGATTGACTGACTGACTGAATGACTTGACTGACTGAATGATGACTAACTGACTTACTGAGTAATTTAAAGTTAGATTTTTTCACTGAAGAGGACCTTGAAATGGTGTCTACAGCAGCTGATGCCTTACTGTCAGTTGTACAATGTATTGCAGGGTAAAACAGAACAGAAATTCATTACAGAATTTATGCACACTCCAGTACAACCATCAACTTCAGTACCAGACCCTCTACCATCCACCTCAGCCCAGTAGGGCCACACCAAAACTCTCCACTCATTTCACAATCATCCACAAACACCAGCATCCACAATTTAAGGTAAGAAATACTATTATTTCTGTTGCAGTTATAGTCTTAATTAAGCAGTACAAACATAATACATCACAACAGTGAATTACAATTATATATTCACTTTTATGTTTGTAAGATATGGAGGTCTAAAAAAAAGTTGCTTGAGGGGGAAGCTTGCATCCTGAATTTTTGCTCGTATCCAGACAAAAAGTCGACCGAGCGACTGCTCGTATCTTGAAAAACTTGCATCGTGGGGCACTCGTCAGCCAAGGTTCCACTGTACCAATATGTCAACATGGACTGCTAACATAATGGTAAGGAGACATGTACTTAGTAAGGAGACACAGTTATGTGGAACCTTCATTGATGATGTTTCACCCACGCAATGTGCTTTATCAATTTCACAAACAATAAGTGACATGCCCACTGCATAGGCAAAGTGTCATCAATAAAAGCTTTATATATGTAGTATTATAATGCAAGAGTCCACAAAAACTGTGTAGCAGTACAGATAAGAGTTAGAGTGAGACTCGATATTGTAGCTCAATATAGTTAGGATGAGCGTACACCACAGACCTGCAAAAATAAAATTGGACAGCATAGAACAGTTAGGATGGGACTGGACAGTAGAGTGTAGTTAGTGTGAGAATGAACTGTAGTAGTGAACAGTTAGAGCAAGACTGGCCAGGAAAGTTAGGGTGACACCGAGCAGTATAGATAAAATATCAGTTTGGGCAAGTTGAATAATAGTAGTGAGGATGAGGTGAGGTAGCTATATACTTAAAGAAGAATAAGGCAGAACTTTAGAATGGAACAGTCAGGGAAAGAATGGAGGGAGAAATGGGGATGTCTGGGATAGGCAGAAAAATACTGTATAACAGAGCTGAGTTTGGGTGAGATAAGGACATTGAAAATTAAACTATAAAATGGTTAACATTTATAGACAGATTATCAGATTTAGTGGGAAGCTCTGAACCCAGAGAATTACAGTAGAATTACAGTAAATCAACAATTAAAATCACATTATGAAATCCTGTGTAGTCTGCAGCAAATCACACAAGTGGGCTTCCACATGGATTACATGCCATTTTTGTGGAAATTGGTGTCATGCCCCTTGTGCATATATCCAAGAACTATCTACAAGCAGTATTAAATCAGGGAAGTGTTTTTGGGTATGCCCAAATGAGATGAATCTGTGGATTAAAATCACATTGGTATTAAAAGAGGATAACATCAAAGCAGCCTTCATAGAAAACCTGGAAGCATTCTATAACAGATGGGAAAATAAAAAGACTGGGCTGGATGGTGCTATCGCCCTTGGTGTGGATGCTGTCCTGGCCGACAGTAACTGTATGTCTGGAGGTGCTGGCCATGTAGTCAGAAACTGTAATGCTGGAGGTGCTGTCCTGGTAGACAGCAACTGTATGCATGGGGAAATGCATATTAATGGCCACGAGGGAAACAGGAGCTGTAGTGGAGAAACAAGTGTAGTCAAGGAAAAGATAAAACCAATATTACAAACTAGTAATACCACAGGAGATAGCAAACAAGGGGACTCCACTAGTAATTGTGAGGATATATTACCAGAAACAACTGGTGAGAGCTCCATTGTTAGTACTAGTGAGGATAGGAGTGAGACAGGAAAACATGCACCAACATGGAATACAGATGCAAAAATCCAAGGCAAATGGAAACGAAGCCTGTGCACATACATGTATTATGCACTTAGTATCTGCAAACATGGGATATCTGGAAAAACAGATGGGACGTGCAACTTTGACCACCCTAGAAAATGCCGTGCCCATATGACAACAGGAAAATGCAAACTCCCTTCCTGTAAGCTTTTTCACCCTGAAATGTGTCCCTCTTCAGTACAGGAAAGACAGTGCTATAACTTAAATTGCCAGGCACACCATCTAAAAGGGACAAAATGATATAAAACATCCAGACCATAGGAAAACCTGGGTAGCCACAGCCACTCAAGAGGGAGAGATTTTTTAGTGCCAGGAAGGAAAAAAAAAACTGGCAGGAAATGGCAGAAATCGTACACCAAATCCAGTCATTTCTGGAGTGGAATCACAGTCAATGGCCTCCACTCCAAACCAACAGATACAGATATTAGTGCCGGGAAAAAAAGTCCCCCCCCCCAGTACCACCAATCCAACGACATTCTTCTTTGCAAATATACAGGGTCTAAGGCCAGCAACGAACAACAAAATACCTTTCATCCGTGGACTGCTTGCAGAGGCAAATGCAATGTTCTCGATTTTCACAGAGACCCACATAAAGGATCACTTGGACAATGAAATATGTTCCCAGGTTACAACCTATACAGATGCAACAGAGTGAATAAGCAAAAAGGGGGGGGGGGGGTTGGCCTGTATATTGCAGAGTCACTTATTTGCACAGAACTGCTTAATGCTTCAAATGATGTAGTTGAAGTTTGAGCAGTAAAGATCGAGAGCCAAAATCTAGTCATTGTGGTAGTCTACAAGCCTCCGGATGCAACGTCCCAACAATTCCAGGAACAGCTGTTGAAAATTGACCACTGTCTGGAAAATCTTCCAGCTACAGCCCTCAACGTCTTGCTCCTGGGGGATTTCAACTTAAGGCATCTAAAATAGAGGAATACAGCAAATAATGTTGTTGCAGCGATAATACCAGGAGGCAGTTCAAACGAGAACTCACACACACACAAGCTTTTAAATCTCTGCACAAAATTCAACTTAAACCAGCAAATAATAGAGCCGACTAGACTGGAGAATACACTGGACCTCATCTTCACTAACAATGATGATCTGATACGAAATGTCACCATATCAAAAACAACATACTCAGCAATAGAAATAATTAGAAGTAAGGGTGGGAACCCTCTCATATGTGGTATTTTGCCAAGGAGGGGAGTTGGAAATGAATGGTTGTCCAGGGCAATTGGTGTCAATTGCTGGCTGGACAAATACTGTAAGGAAAATGCGGTAACATTCATTGACAACTGGGACCTCTTCTA